ACATAAGATACTTGTCTAAACATACATTCACTATCTTATATAATATATATATATATATATATATATATATATATATATATATATATATATATATATATATATATATATGTCACAGAGCGGTTGTTACGGAGGAGGGCTCCGGTCCTGACTTGTCATCAACTATATTGACTTAGTAGTGTTCAGTACAGGACCGCTCCTCTCTGTGATTTATATTGTGGGTATCTAGGCGTTGAGACAGACAAAAGCACAACGTAGACTTGAACGAAAATCAAACAACTCAAACTTCAGGTGTCCAACGAAAATGAAAATATGTTTATTTCTAAGATATAAGTTCTTCTGAAGTCTTCACTACCTGTCAGCTATCTATATGATTATCTAAAGTCACGACTGTTCAACTGTATCCTCAACTATTCCTATATCAACTCGTCAACTGTCCTCTCCTGATCTCTCTCAACTGTTCTACCTATACACTCCTGCTATCCCTCTCAACTCGACTGTTATACCTCTCAACTGCTGCTATACCTCTCAACTCTGCTATACATCTCAACTCCCATGTCTCGAAAAACTCCCCCCTTATATTTGCCCGTCGTGTGAGTATAAACTCTACTAGCTAACAATCCCACGGTCATTGAATTGCCACATCATCAAAGAGAACATTCTCCGACCGGTACCCCCGGACGTCCATTCCATGTCCTCACCCACCTATTAGCAGCTATCACGTTGAGACATTTTCCATTATTGATAATTATTCTAACTCTACCCATGGTCTTCGTGAACATTCCATTTCCACCTGCAAACTAAAAACTTGTTAATCGAAAACATTGGTGATACTCGTTCCCACATTTTCCACCTGGATTCTCGATTTCCCCAAACTATCATGTCTTCCCTATACTACCATAAACTCTGGCGATGTCAGGCTAATAATTCCCTAATCTATTGTATCTTTGTGTGGCACCCACGCCCATCGCTCCCGTCTCCAGCATGGTCATTTGTGACAATATATATATTATATATATATATAATATATATATATATATATATATTATAACTTCATAAGGACTAACTTATGGGAATTTTTTTTGCAACTGCTAGCTCGTCCGTGGAAGATCGATCATTACCATTTTAAACATCGGAATGGTGCTCGGGCTTAATCTGTATGTGATTGAACAGGTGGCTGATCAGGCCGATTCTGGCACGAAATTTTCTTGTGAAGAATGTGCAGAGGATGGATGGACAACTCCAGGTGCAGAGTTAACTCGTGGTTTTCTGGGTTTGTCTTTTGTACTCTGCAGCAGTTGTTCATGCAACCAGAACAATTGCTGCAGAGTACAAAAAAAACAACAAAATAAAAAAAACAAAGCCAGACATGTCTTTTTTTTTGTTTTGTTGATTGTAAGATCGAAGTTTTTGCAGGCCTCCGAGAAATTTGCAACACTGCGTTGCATGTCGGCCTCTGATTCAGCGTTAAGGGCAATGTCATTGGCGTATAGTAAGTCCCTGATCAAGTCTGTCTGTGCAGTGCATTGGATTTAGCATTAAGAGCAATGTAATTGGCGTACAGTAAGTCGTAAGTCCATGATCTTTACCATCAGTTCGATATCTGATGCTGATTCTAATGTCTCCCTATGTAAAAGCATCATACAGCAATGTGTAGAAGATGATGCTTAAAAGTATTGGTGCCAGGATGGAACCTTGCTTGATGGCATTAGACACAAGGAATGGTTATGACATGCTTCCATTTGCCCACCCTAGCCTACATACTATAGTGAGACCTTTACTGCTGACAGTGTCTAAAGCCTGTTAGGTCTACATAGGTGGAGAAAAGGTCGACATTTTGCTCAAAACATAGCTTCAGCTATCTGGTGGCGAACACCATTTCAATATTTCCGCGCTCATTGTGAAAACCGCATTTACATTTCTGAAAGTAGACCGCTTTCAAGATTCGTTTAGAAGGATTCCAGCGAACTTACGCTTGATTGGTAGATTGCTGAACTTTGAATAATTTATTTTAAAATATTATTATTTCTTTGGTAAACGTTCTAGTAAAAAGTATCAATGTCAACGTCCATACATAAAAGTAGGGTACACCGCTTTTACTTGGTTGATTTCAAAAATAACTTTTCGGTAATTAGTTTTAAACCTCTCAAAATTAAGGTTCTGTAAATAACATATTATACTATTAATCCGTAAACAACGACCATACATTTCCGTTATTTCAAAGAAGTTAACTCAAAAAAAGTTGAAAATCATACAAGTAAACAAGAGCAATTTTGTTGAGTATTAATTATTATCAACTCATTTAATTTTTGTATAATTAGTTGTAGTTATGATGTAAAAAATGTAGGCCTACTGATACTGACAACATTTCATTGACACCATTCATTGCACAGAGACTACTGGCAATTAGTAATAATACTAGTAATAGTAGTAACAACATTATTGTAATCAATAATGAATGAATATGATTGTTGTAATTATTTGAAATCGTATCCACAAGTCTATACTACTGACTACTAATTACTGTAGTTAGCCATATAATAGTGTCTAGTCCAGCCAGTGCCTGTCCAACTCCAACCTTTTGACTATATGGGGCAAACATTTTTTTCTTGGAACCTGAACTGATGATGATGAGGGCCGCAAATGACATCTCAAGTTTCAAAAACAAATTATTCTTGTTATCAATACTTCTTTACCTTATTCTTATCATCTTATGAATGCACACAATGTCAATGTAGTTGTCAGTTGTTTACTGCGGGTCCTGACATTTTGAAGAAGTACCCGAAAGGTCCAAGTGTTACCCAAAAAAAGAGCTAAACTTAAACTTCTCATTTTCTCTAATCTGGCATTTATTATTTAATTTTAAACAAGGCTGCGACTACTTGCACCTGGGTACCAGAAGTGAAAGGTTGGGATTAAAAAACTATTTAAAATACTATTGTTAAGTTTGTAAGACAAAATGAGGTATCAAATGAAAGATAACTGAATGGACATGGACTACATGTTTGTAAACTTACCTCTTCAGTTTAACTAAAATAACCTACCAAAAATGACATCCGAATAGAATTTAGTCAAAATGGCCTCGGACACGCAGCGCCACCATTCACCACCCGGTTCCCGCATGTTGGACAGCACTAGTCTATTCTATCCTATTGTTTAGTAAAGTCATTATGCCTCCTGAGTGACTAAGAGACTGACACTGAGTAACTGACACAGATTGTCAGTATGAGTATAGTTACAGAATTAAATTTAATTAGTAAACTTTATTGTAGAACTTAGTTGTAAAGATTATTATTGGAAATGGCAATAATATAATCTCTAACTAAGATAAAAGAAGAAGAAAAAAAAAAGTTAAATTCATACATTAAAACTGCTGGATATCTAAATGAATACAGTGAAACCTCTCATAATGAGTACCTCTCATAATGACTAATTCGCATAATGAGCAAAAAAAATGTGAAGAAATTGCTCTCTTAACGAGCGACATTTCGCATAATGAGTTACGCAGAAAGGGGAAGTCCCTTTTTCCCTCACTTCTGCTTGGAAAAAACTGGCCAGAGAGTGTTGTTGAATGTGACTTTGAAACAGTACCTGTGGAGTCTACAGTTAACGAGATTGTTTCATTGGCCAATATCATGGGACTTGAGGTGGACAACAACGATATTGAAGAGCTTGTGAAAGAGCACAGTCAAGAGTTGACCACCGAAGAGCCTATGGAGTTGCATCATGTTTGACAGCAAGAAATTATAGAGGAGAGCTCATTAATGGAGGAGGAAGTAGCAGAGCAACAATCTTCTAGCGCAATAAGAGAAATGCTGAAAGCATGGGAAACTGTTGCATCGTACATTGAGAAGCATCACCCTAGTAAGGACGTGGCTACAAATTTATTCAATGATAATGCTGTGACACATTTTAGTCAAAATTTGAAGCGTCGGCAAAAACAAATGTCTTTAGACAGTTTTCTAGTTAAAAAGGATTAATTATTTGTCATAAATTCATATTTTTATTTACGTTTTTTGTTTCAAATCTAAATTGTATTCCAAGTAGTTACACTCCTTAACAATTCATAAGTAATTTTATTTGAAAAAATGTTAATAAAATTTTTTGAAAAATTAGTATTTTTTCAGCATGGAACAAATTATCGTATTTTACATTGATTTGTACCGGTATAGGAAAAATTGTTTCGTTTAACGAGTGTTTCGCTTAACGAGCAAGATTCTGGAACGAATTATGCTCATTATGAGAGGTTCCACTGTAATACTAAATAAACATCCTAGCATTTCTGATGTATAATCTTTAGGATTTATATGTTAAACCTATACTATATTTAGCATAAGTTATTATTTTTTTTTGAGAATGATGATATGAATTGATTATTCTAATTAGGGCTGTGCAAATTAGGTGAATAGTGTGGGGGGGGGGGACATTGTGTGTGCATTATCAGGTTTTGCCTGGGTTGCAGTTTTAGTGGCCATCCATAAGGTCATATATAAATAAAATTTTTGTGATGAAGTAAAATTAGTCTAGTGTGTCTAAATTGTGTGTCAAATTTGTGACAATGGGGAGAGGGGGATTGAAAATTAGACAAATACCCATAACATCAGTTGTTCTTGGCCCCTAATATTAATTATTACATTACATGGATTCTTTTTATTGGTTGTGTAACAACTTAATTAAAAAAGCAATGTTTACAAATGATTTTTTATTTTAATCATTCATAATTTTGAGATCTTATATTTATATCTAACTCGATTAGTCTAACTTAACTTATTTTCTGACTAGTATTTTACTTTTATTGTCTTAGACTTAGTAAATAACACTGTCACTGTCACTATGTTGCACACAGGTCTGAATAGTTGCAATATGACTTCTTGCTTTTTCCCTTGATTGGAAACACAGCATTTCAAAGAGTAGGCTTCTAATGGATGTGTTGATCTAAAAATGCATAGTGATGACCTGTACTTTACTGACACCCCCAAGCACAGAGGCCATGACTTGGCCCTCTGGTTTGTTTCTCATGCTTTTAAACAGCAAGAATGTCATATAGAAAACTTTCGGCAACTGGTTCGTGATGCTGAGTGGGCTCATCCTGGATTTTTAATGTCACCAGTTGTTGGATTAACTTTGTTTGTAAGTAAATTTTATATTATTTTGAAAGTTTTAAATTTCATCAATAATAAATTTTAAGTTCATTGATTTATTTATTGTTTTTAGAACTGGAAATGATGTAACTGATTAAAAACTGGTTTGATTGCTGTCAAAATTCATCTTGTCCTGTTTTGAATGCTGTGAGCCCTTTGCAATTCCTTTTTTAGATTTTAAAAATTATTGATTTGGACGTGATGGAGACATATTTGCCACCCCTTGTTTACCCTGTGTCATCTTTTATCTTGCTGCATTCAATCTGATTAATTTTTAAAAGTGGTGTTTTCGCTATTTTTTTGGTAAAAAGTTGTAATTTATTTTCATGTGTTTTCCTGTTATATTTTTTAAAAAGTACAGTGAAAAAAATATATATTTTCTAAAACCTTTTATAGAAAATTAATAAGTCCAAAAATAGTTTGATAAGTGCACAATAATTTATTTTTACTTTCAGAGATGCATCCATTTAAATCGAAAAAATGTTATATTATGTCTACTATCGGAAGGAGCAGATGTCAACATGATGTTCAGGGGGCGATGCATGCTACATGAAGCAGTTAAGGTAATGTTTTTTTAAATACATTTTTAATCCCACATACATTTAGTTTATTATCATTAATTAAATTTAAAAAGAAAATGAGTTTGTTTATGGATCTTAAGTTGAACCGACTTTGGATACAACGCTTTGAATTTTTACAAGTTTTAAATTCATTTAATTCATGGGCAGCTCTTCAAAGTTTAGGAATTATGAATTTCTGATTTTTTTGTTTTCTGCAAATTCACTTCTTGATTTCAAACTTGTGATAAAGCCTGGCTTGCACCCTTGACTTTAAAAAAATTTTTTGTAATCAATCATACACGAAGCCTCAAAATGGCATTCATGTTAATAAATTATTTATTTATCAAAGTATAAAATATACTTTTTAATTTTTCTTTAACTCTCAGGTATCCAATGAGCAAATGTTGACTTTCCTTCTGTCCCTGCCTCATATTGACAAGGACATATGCGATGTTAATAAAAGGACGCCAGTAATGGAAGCTGCACGAGGGAGGCCGAAGTGTCTAAAGGTAAACATAGATGGCCATAGTGGCTTATCCTTATAGTTAGTCTCATTTAGTTGTTGTCATGCCTTTTACACTCGTCTTGCTAATGTTAAATAGTTTTCAAATCAGCTTTTGAATTATGGCTGTAACACTTAACTTTTTTGTTTATACTTGCCAACCGTCTGTACAAGAACAATTTAGTTATAAAATTGCTTAAAAATAATTTAAAGGCATTGTTTTATTAAAATTTATTTTGTTTTTTAACGTAAGATTTCTTTATGAAAGTGTGCTCTTTAATCCTGGAACTACATTTGTTTTTTATTATGAATTTAAGAATCCATTAAAAAAATTTTTAATATAATTCCGTGGTTGAGCTCCATTTACTTGTGACTCTTATGTGTCTTTAATTAATTCGGTATGGTATATTTTTTAGGTCATGCACAAGTTCAATTGCACCAGTTCAATAATTATCTAATGAAATATTTTGATTGACCAGATCCTTTTAAATGCAAATTGTGACCCATCACTTACTGATGAGGACGACAACAATGCCCTGCATCAGTCGTTTCGTGAAGACCGTGCCCACAGAGATGACATACTTGCCTGTTTGGACATTCTCTTAGACTTTGGCATGGACGTAAATTCTTCTGGCTCTTCTGGTAAGACTTGTTTGCAGAAAGCTGTCGAGATGGGAAACCACTGGCTGGTCCGTTGGCTGATTCTCCACAACTGTGATCTGAATGTGCCAATAAAAAATTCAAAACTCGTTCTTGGCTCATATCGGTCCAGAAATGCCAACCAGGATTTGCCGATTCTTATAGCCTTTAAGAAAGCCGATCGTATCCTGGTGGAGGTTCTGATTGCTTGTGGATGTGAGTTCAGACGTTACCAGTGGATTTTGGATTATTGCAAACCTTACAAACTGCTGTACAGACATTTGTTAGATGCTTTTAGGGGTGTTGACTCTCTTCAATCTCTCTGCCGAAAGAGGATAAGGACTTGTCTCAGTACAAATATTGTCGCAGAATCCCAACAGCTGGGACTTCCTGTGGCCATGCAAAAGTTTGTTTTGTGCCATGAAGAACTGAGTGGATTAGATGGCATAGTAAAGTGATTGAAGAGAACAAGAAGATTTGAGATGCTCCTGAGCTATAGTGTATATTAAAAGTTGTAAAATAACAAGCTGTTTTAATCTTGTAAAGAAATAAGTAAACTGTGATTAAAAATAATCCATTGAAATTTAATATCTGAGTCAATACCGTGCTATTAATTCTAACAATTATTCACCTTTATTATTCTATTAGGCTTTGCTGTTACTGTTATGGTGTTGTTATCTTTTGGTAAACTCAGCTTTATCAAATTAATTTCACATAATTTTCAACAGGTGGAGATTGCCTTTAAAAATGTATGGAGAGTTAATGCAATAATAATTGTACAGTTCATTAAAACATAACAGTTTTAAAAAGGATTCTTGTGTGTAAAAAATGTGTCTTTATGCTGCATATACAGCAGCTACTATAAATTGGATATTATTTGTACGTTACGTCTTTCACTTTCCATCCATTGTTTGAGCTTTGATGGACTATTGAGTATTATCTCCATTTGAATAGTTGCATATATTTTCTTCTAACTTATCAAGTTTTCATGTGTGATCTCTGTTTGTACTTGGTGAGATAAAAAAAACAACTTTTTTGGGGCTGGTTGACAAAAATTAAAATTTTTGATTTTAACATCAGTGTGAAGCGCTGAGATATAATGGGATCACTCGTGATAAACTTCTTGAAACCTAATCCTGGGAGTGTTCATTTATGACTTTAAATTTATCTTGACATAATTATTTATTTTTATCATCCTATAACAAGTTACTGCAAATGTTTTGTTTTTTTCGATCCGTTTCCAATAACCTCCAAGTTCATTATGGCTAATGGCATGGGAATGCAAAAGTATATTATGTTAATGTCATTATGACATTAGTTTAATGTGGACCCCCCAAAGTGAATGATAATGTCATTATGACATTAGTTTAATAATGGCATGTGTTGGTTGTGAGAGCCATCAATAGCTCCTCATGCGGTTTTAGTTTAAGAGATCTACTTTCAAACAAAAGTGTTCATGCCATGTGATCTGAGTCATAAGATAATAATAATATAGTTTAAAATTAATATATATTTTTTAGGCCTAGTTCTGTGATTTAAAAAAACAACTGAATAGTAGGGAACATGGCTCTACTAGAAATCTTCTAAGTCAATATTCCTGTCTGGATGTTTCATATTTGGATTACATTCACTTCAGTTCAGAATAAAATATTTTTTGGGGCCATAATTACATTAATTAAAGTTTTGTTTGACATAAAAGAAATATTTTTTATAATATGTTTAAACTCATTATATTTTTAAAAACTGCCTGTTATTGTTACATGAATGTCAAAGAAAATGTAAAATTTAAATTATTTTCAGTAAAATGAACTATATGCGGTTGAAAATAAATAAAAATTTATCGGATTTCATTGCCACTGTATTTTTGTTGTATAAACAAATTAAATGTTTGAAATCAAATCCAGAGGGTATAGATTGAAAAGAAATGCCATATTATTTTTATGTAATTTCAACATTTTGTTTGTTTGTCAATGCTAGAGCCTTTAAAATCCTCACATAAGGAATGGATTAAAAGAGAATTGATACAGTCCTTCCAACAAAAAGCAATGGTATTGTTATATCCCAAGGTTGTAAACTTTCATATGTTCTGCTTTTAAGCATTAAAACAATATTTTGCATGTGATGTGAAAAAGTCCCTGATGTAACGGAATAAATTTACAGACCACAGATTGGAAAAACTGTTCAACTTCAACCAAGAAAACACATTCCTCATTTAGAACATTTTGAGAATAAACAAATGCAATTTACCTTTAACATTTTTAATATTTTGTGTTAATGTTATGAACAAAATTATTGTTCAGATATTTCTTGCGCTTGAACATTACAGTACAAATATAGTACAATTTGAGGTTGATTAAAAAAAAACAACAACAACCCACTAAGAAAGTATCTTGTCAACAATTTATTTTTTGCAGTTCTGTATGAAACATGGTAGACATTTAAGTAATTCTGAAGTGACATGGGCAGATACTAAGAACCCTTGTAGAGACTGGTCAACAGTAATGTCATGATTTATTTATTAATATTAACATTGAAATAAGGGTCACAAGTGACTACAGACATTTCTTAAATTCTGTTCTTGAAAGTAACATTGACTACAACTCCCGATGACCTCCCGACAGCTGCACTATTTCTGTACATATTCATTTAAAGTGAAAGAAATGCCAACTCTGATTCCTTTTTTTTTTTTTGTAATTAAAAAGAAGTAAAACCATTTGATATAATCTCTAACTAAGATAAAAGAAGAAGAAAAAAAAAAGTTAAATTCATACATTAAAACTGCTGGATATCTAAATGAATACAGTGAAACCTCTCATAATGAGTACCTCTCATAATGACTAATTCGCATAATGAGCAAAAAAAATGTGAAGAAATTGCTCTCTTAACGAGCGACATTTCGCATAATGAGTTACGCAGAAAGGGGAAGTCCCTTTTTCCCTCACTTCTGCTTGGAAAAAACTGGCCAGAGAGTGTTGTTGAATGTGACTTTGAAACAGTACCTGTGGAGTCTACAGTTAACGAGATTGTTTCATTGGCCAATATCATGGGACTTGAGGTGGACAACAACGATATTGAAGAGCTTGTGAAAGAGCACAGTCAAGAGTTGACCACCGAAGAGCCTATGGAGTTGCATCATGTTTGACAGCAAGAAATTATAGAGGAGAGCTCATTAATGGAGGAGGAAGTAGCAGAGCAACAATCTTCTAGCGCAATAAGAGAAATGCTGAAAGCATGGGAAACTGTTGCATCGTACATTGAGAAGCATCACCCTAGTAAGGACGTGGCTACAAATTTATTCAATGATAATGCTGTGACACATTTTAGTCAAAATTTGAAGCGTCGGCAAAAACAAATGTCTTTAGACAGTTTTCTAGTTAAAAAGGATTAATTATTTGTCATAAATTCATATTTTTATTTACGTTTTTTGTTTCAAATCTAAATTGTATTCCAAGTAGTTACACTCCTTAACAATTCATAAGTAATTTTATTTGAAAAAATGTTAATAAAATTTTTTGAAAAATTAGTATTTTTTCAGCATGGAACAAATTATCGTATTTTACATTGATTTGTACCGGTATAGGAAAAATTGTTTCGTTTAACGAGTGTTTCGCTTAACGAGCAAGATTCTGGAACGAATTATGCTCATTATGAGAGGTTCCACTGTAATACTAAATAAACATCCTAGCATTTCTGATGTATAATCTTTAGGATTTATATGTTAAACCTATACTATATTTAGCATAAGTTATTATTTTTTTTTGAGAATGATGATATGAATTGATTATTCTAATTAGGGCTGTGCAAATTAGGTGAATAGTGTGGGGGGGGGGGGGCCATTGTGTGTGCATTATCGGGTTTTGCCTGGGTTGCAGTTTTAGTGGCCATCCAAAATAATCCTTCCACTCCTACCATTTCATTACATGAAAAAACACAAAATGTTTAAACTATAAGGCTAATAATTAATATTAAAAAACGTGTAAAAAAAAAAAAAAGCTAATGAAATACAATTTTTAAAATAAAAAAATACATTTTCATGTTAACAACTCATTGTTCTGAGTTAAGTTTGCTTTATCAAGTCTTAACTGTTGTATCTGATCAAACATGGTAACAAGGTGTAGAAATGACTGACAATAAAAGTTACAGTGAATGTTAAATAACAATCTTTATGTTAACCTTCAGATGTGACCCTTTGATTGTCACCTTCCAGGCCATCCCCTGGAACCTCATCTTTTTCCCTGGCGCCGTGTTTCAGTGTTCGGGTGAACTCGAGGTAGTCAAATTTCCCTTCTTGAATGGGTGCCCCATGCAGAAGTTCATCCACCATTTCCTCTGACCAGCGGTCACCCATCGTCATCAGACATTCGCGGAGGTAGTCTTCAGGAATGAATCCTAACATTGGAATTAAAAAAATAATCACTTCATTGAAAAAAGAAGGCAATCTAAAAAAATACCAAAAAAAATGCATTTTTCAAAAATGTACTAAAAAGCAAGGGGGTGTCTATGAACCCAATGTTTTTTGTTTCAGCTCAATTGGAGATCAGGAATTGGGTAAAAATGGAGATGCAAGATTTGGCCACACAAAAAATAACAAACGGAAACAAATAAAAAGCGTGTTTTGTTTAAAGTATTTTTTAAATACACATTTATTTTGTACTTTTTAGTCACAGTGTACAAAGTTTCAGCTCAGTTGGACATAAAGGAAGTGGGTCAAAATTGATATGTTAAATTTGACCAGCAGAGGTCGCTCAACGGGTCAGTGGAGGTCACTGATGACCTATTGACCATGAGGGTTTGTATTGTCATAGGGGGTGGGAAAGTGTACAAAGGTTCACTTATTTTGGATATCTGGAAGGGGGTCAAAGTTGAGAAGCAAGATTTTACCCAGACAATATCGCAAACTATATAAAAGCGTGTAATACTCAATTGTCATCGCATGTTGTTTTTAAAAAATATATATTATGTGGCCATCAATAAATGAATACCGATATGCTATTTTGCTGACTTATTGATGGCCCATATAAGGAAGGATGACTCTAGGGCTGCGTTAGGAGTGAGTCTGAAATGGTGACCATCATAGGGAGCGGCACTAAAAGTCATTTTAAAAAATCTAATCATTGCGGGAGTGGGGATACGTCCTAAGCAGGATGTCATAACATGTACATAAATATTACTAGGGCCCAGCTGAATAAGTTTATTTGCTCATTGTAAATCTAAGGACTTGACAAGGAGTACCTTATTTCATTTAAGTAAAGTCATCATTCATATTTATCAGTTAAGTAAAATACTTTAAATCAGGCCTGCAGGCCGCATGTGGCCCACTACCGTACATAACGAAATATTCGTAATTCTATATTATTTTCTTAACAGCTTTCCCCCTGTCCTATTTTCTTTGGCCCGCACAAGACCTATCCTATTATCTTTTGGCCCGCACAAGGTTTTCATAAAGAATTACGGCCTGCCTTACATTTTGAGTTGTGCAGGCCTGATTTAAATGGTTACAGCCTTAAAAGATAATTGCTCACTTAATATAATAACATTAAAAAATTGGGGGGGGGGGGGGGGGGGGGGGAAACAAACAAAAAAAAAATCAACACCATAGGTTCCTACCTATATTTCGGTCGTCAAAACAGGCGAAGGCATTTTTGATAACTTCCTCCGGATCTGTTCCGTTAAGTTTCTCCCCAAACAAGGTCAGAAACATGGTGAAGTTGATTGGTCCAGGCGCCATGTTGATCATAATGTCCAGGTCCTCGTCTGTTGGGTTCTTGCCAAGGGAGGTAAACATCTCAAATAGATCCTCCTTGTCGACATAGCCATCACGGTTTTGATCTATCATATTGAAGGCTTCCTGGAGAATCAGTTGGAAAGTGGAAAAGTTAAGATGAATTCTATAAATTACTCACATCGTATAACTTATGTTTGGGGGTGTTGCATTCAAAGTGTGTGGGGAAGATGGGAAACAAATTTTGGGGGAATAAAGAAAATGGGAAAATATTTTGCCCCTTGAGAGCAAGAATGTACTAAGCGCCAATATTACCCAAAACAGTGCTGTATAACAGGGCTGTCTTTACAGCAGTGGAGGCCTTGGGCACAGTAATGCACTAAGGCCCCTAACCCTCTACATACTCAGGGCCATGCGAATGGGGGGGGGGGGGTGGCAATAACCCTGGTGGCAAAATTGTTTTAAGAAAGGCCCTTAATTTAACAAAAAAACCCCATGTACCTCACAAATACAGGGGGGGCAAAAAGCTGTCTTTACAGCAGTGGAGGCCTTGGGCACAGTAATGCACTAAGGCCCCTAACCCTCTACATACTCAGGGCCATGCGAATGGGGGGGGGGGTGGCAATAACCCTGGGGGCAAAATTGTCTTAAGATAGGCCCTTAATTTAACAATAAAATCCCATGTACCTCACATATACAGGGGTGGCAAAATCATCTTACTAGTGCGCCCTGTGCACCGCTTTTCTAGGAACGGCTGTCTATAGCCTACTATTACTATTCAAGTAATGTTATGAAAAGCATTATGGTTTAGGTTTTGTTTTTTAGATTAAAATTTGTCAGTGCTGTCACTTTAATACAGGAGGGAGCAGAGATTGAGGGCGTCAAACGAAACTGGGGGTAAGAATTGAAGAGAGGTCTCGGTAAGCTCCTCCCCAGAAATTTTTGATAAATTCAAAATGATAGGCTGCATTTTGGCACATGCATTACCAGTAATTTAGTTTTGCATAATTCTACACTTAAACAGAAAAGATGCTAGTTGAAATTTAGGTTCCCTTGACCATGCATTGGTTATATAAGTTCTTTTTATTTTGAGCTGCATCTAAATAGTATTGGTGTTTCAGAATTTTCCTTGAAACTGTTAATTTGTTTTAACTAATTCATCAATGAATGAATATAAATTTTAAAAATCCGTTCGAAACAGTTGATTGTTAATTCAAAAAACAACAAAAAATCTATTAGTATGTCATTATAATAATTATCATTTTGTATTTAATTCAAAATGTAAGTAGTTTTTCCCAAAATTTACAGCTACAAAAAATAAGAAAACTATGCAGAAAGGGCTACAGATTTGGTATGGCATGGCTATTTAAAACTTGTCATTTTCAAATGAATTGTATCTAAATGGTAGACTTTATATAACATATTTATTATCTGATTTATATGAGGGAAATGAGACAGCATGAATTTCCAAACAAATGCAGTACCTTAAAAAGTATATTTGGAATTTATAACTACAATTCAATAAATTTCTTAATTTAAATTACTAAATAAAGAACATTTGTTGCCTTTTGTAAGACTCTATAATTTACTCCTCCCTCAACCCCATACCAAAAAAAATAATGCTTTTTTGTTGTTTTTTTCAAATTGATAATTTTTATTTATTAAAGGAAAATGTTTCTAAAGCTAGTACCAAATCATTGAATTAATTGTTAAAATCGAAAAAAACGTGTTTAAATAAACTGGAGAAACGGCAACGGTCTTGCCGCTTTAAAAGTAAAATAAATTGCCTCAAATATTTAGTAATAATATTGGCAACATAATGCCCCTAGCCCTAGAAGAGTGAGGCACCCTGTACGCGTACGGTTCCCTACCAACCAAGAGCCAAGAGTTAGAGTTGTGAAGGTCCCTCAAGCACAAGACCTCTAAGTCCTTGAGGCGTGAGACCCTGGGCCAGTGCGCCCATACCTTAAGACGTCACTGCTTTCCCCCACTAATTTCACTGCGTGAGCAGTGGCTTAGCTAGGATTATTACCGCCCGGGACTAACATCTTAGACTTTGTCTAAGATTCCATCATGATTGTTAACACAAATTATTTTTTTCGTTTTCGATTCATATCTGAATATGGGAGAGGTGTAAAATGTGTTGACGAGAGTTATTTCCCTTTAATAAGTATCTTATCCAACTTGTGATTCGCATTTATAATATTAATTCTTGATTGTTCCGATATTTTCGTAGTTAAAAATTCGGAAACTTTCTGTCCACTGACTTTTAAATAAAATTGAATGGGCAAAATTTTTCAACATTCATAAACAATATGTAAAGCATGATGCCTCTAAAAGAGTGGGGACATGCCTTAAGACGGTATTGCTGTACAAGCTTCTTTCAGTAGTAGCAACGTATGATGATGACGTATCCTAAATAGGAATAAGTTTGAGAATACGTTTCTTGTCCACTCAAGCAGCCACATCCGAAGAACGATTTATTAGGTTAAATTGGAAATGAGCCGTTTCCAAAAATGTACATATTTTATTTTCATACAACAATTATTTATTTTAATGCAAAACTGTTTTGAAAAAAAAAGGGTGTGGGTGGGTGGGGGCGAATGCTTAAAGTAAATTCGACTATAAAATGAGGCAATAGCCATGACACCTTGAACTCCTGTATCTGTGCCTGGTTGAACATAGCGAAGACATTGGACGTGTATCTCTGCGTCCTGGTCCGTTGCTTCTTCTTTGTTCGTGTGCTGGACATGTTCACTGGGCACAGGGAAAAAGTAAAATTCGTATTATTAAAAAAACAAACAAACCGAATTTCCCATAGTAAAAGAAAAACGCTAGGCGTATTATAAAATTTTTATTTGTTGTTTTATTTTTTTGAATTTTTTTTTTTTCAATCATAATTTCATAACCTCTAACCTGAAAACTTTTCATCACTTTAAAAAAAAAAAAAAAAAATTTCTTGAGTGCTATGGATTTAGATCTATTGCAATCCTAGCCACAAAAGCACAATATCAACTAAACCTCAGTATCAGTAGGACAAAACCGTAAAGAAAATTTTCAACAACTGACAATAACAGCATTTTTAATTGTCCTCATAGAAAGGTTCGCGCCTACAGATATAGCAAATGAACAATTTTCAGTGCCTACTTAAAATAAAATGGGAGTGCTTCAATTTTTAACCACAACCCCCCCCCCCCCCCCCTTTTCCTTTTTTTTTTTTTTTTTTTTTGTTTTTTTTTTTTTTTTTTTTTTTTTTTTTTTTTTTTTTTTAGTTCGCGCCTACAGATATAGCAAATGAACAATTTTCAGTGCCTACTTAAAATAAAATGGGAGTGCTTCAATTTTTAACCACAACCCCCCCCCCTCCCTTTTTTGGTTTTTGTTGTTGTTTGTTTTTGTTTGTTTTTGTTTGTTTTTGTTTGTTTTTGTTTGTTTTTTCCCCCCTCAGACACACAACTTCTTCGGGACAAAATATTTTGGTGCAAAGTTCTGGCACGCCCTTCGTCTCCTCTTCAATGCATGACGTCATTTTCAGGACACACCCCATTTGCATTATTTTACCAACGTTAATCTTTAAGCCAAGCCGTAAGAAAACATCAACATCATGCTGTCTCGAGGACATAGCTACATGTCTCATGGACATCAACAACATGTCTCATGTATACAACAACTTATCTATCGCAAACGCAAACTAGCGAAGATTGAAGCACACACGCCATGGTAAAAGCCATGAGGTTTATTTTAAAACATTACATTGCCTACCTACAGACAAAAAAAAAAATGTTACGGATATATCAATTATCAAAGTCTATTGTAAATTCTAATTTGCTTGTGCCCTTTTTTTTCGAAGTTTGACTGGTCAGAAAACTCAACCCAAGTTAAATAAGTAGGCTACTATTGTTGATTGTAACTTGTAATTGATATCTAGGTCGAAATAAGCACGGTCGTAAAAAAAAAACTTAGAGAAATAAACGCACTGCTGGCAACTATTTAAAATATTTCATATTTCCATTGTAATGATAGCGGTTAAAAATATATATATATATTGAAACTAATTCATGAACTCCCAGTTGATTGTACCCCGGTATGTATTGTTTCCTTTAATAATCACAACGTCGAAGATACGAGTTAAATGTTTGTTGTCTGGCATCAAAACTAGTTTCATTGCAGTTTGATCACACTTAACATGTTTGCCCAGTGGTCAAACGCTCTCTCTTTCATTTCTAAACCTCTCGAATAGCTCCTTATCTGGGCAAAGGGACTCAAAACTGACCCCCAATGAATCGGATTTCTCCTCACAGACTCTTGACCACGCCCACAACTTTGTGTTAAAATCAAACACACATCAAACACTCCATCACCGATCGCTATAAGTCTACAGACGTCTCACCTGATTACAGAAGTACACAAAGAACAATAATCCCCAAAAAGTCTACTTTTGTAACAAACTGGTTGTCTTTTACTGGACGGTGAGTGGACGGCGAGGTAGTCAGTCTTATACCAAAATGGCCGTTGTCTTATCCCCCAAGGCAAACAGATGAGACGTGTGAAATGGCGCCCGTGTAGAGGAGTTCTGCGTGCAGGGCCTGACCTCGCAGGTTATCACGCGCCAAGGAACGGCATTACTCACCCCATCCCACTGTACGTTTCGTTACCCCTAAAGAGCACGCCCGACCAAGGCGGAACACTGCATTACCTGTAATGTGGTATCCACAAGCAACCAACCACCTTTTTTTTTCAAGCTCCAAGGATAAGCATTTACATTAAGAAAATTTTTTTTTTTTTTGCGCAATCAACTAGGGCCCAGATGGGTATATTGTTTAAGTAATAAGACAGGAGTCAAAGTAATAAGAAACGAGTCAAAATAATAAGACATGAGTCAAATAAGACAGGAGGCCAAGTCATAAGTCAGATGACCAAGTCATAAGTCAGATGGCCAAGTCATAGGACTGAAGGTCAAGCCATAAGTCAGATGGCCAATTCATAAGTCAGAAGGCCAGTCATAAGACAGAGGACCAGTCATAAGACAGAAGGGCAAGTCATAAATCAGATGACCAAGTCATATGTCAGATGGCTAAGTCATAGGACAGAGTACCAAGTTATAAGTAAGATGTTCAAGTCATAAGTCAGAAGGCCAGTCATAAGAAAGAAGAGCAAGACTTAAGACATAAGGGCAAGTAATAAGTCAGATGACCAAGTCATACTGTTCAACTGTTTTTTCTTCACTCCATGAAAATTAAAAGATCAGTCGCCAACGCCAAATATCTAGTCTTCATTATTCAACTTTATAAATACATTTCCTATCTTTGCAACGGGAGGTGTGTGCATGTATGTCAAAGAGAGAGAGAGAGAGATCGAGAGAGGGAGTGTGAGAGAGAGAGAAAGAAAGAGAGAGAGAGTGAGTGAGAGAAAGAGAGTGAGTGAGAGAAATATCGTGGCAAGTCAAAGCTGCGCCCGGGGAAAAGCATGGCCTTAGGCGCCCCCTTCCTAAACGTTGTATATTAATACACCTATTTTGTCACCCCTTTCCATTGGAATTCCTGATGGGACGTAAGGATAATGCCCGGTTGTAGATGTGGGTAGAAAGGGCTCGCGTGCGTGTATGTGTGTCAAAGAGAGCGATCGAGAGAGGGAGAATGAGAGAGAGAAAGAGAGCGAGAGAGCGAGAGAGAGTGAGAAAGAGAGAGAGAGAGAAAGAGAGTGAGTGAGAGTGAGAGAAAGAGAGAGATTGAGAAATAGAGAGAGATAGAGAGAGAGAGAGAGAGAGTTAGAGAGAGAGAGAGAGAGAGAGAGAGAGAGAGAGAGAGAGAGAAGGCGAGGATGCAGTAGAATGAAAATTTGGTCTCATATATTCGCATAGCTAAGACACGCTTTTATGCTCTGGCCCTTTTATAGAGAGAGAGAGAGAGAGAGAGAGAGAGAGAGAGAGAGAGAGAGAGAGAGAGAGAGAGAGAGAGAGAGAGAGAGAGAGAGAGAGAGAGAGAGAGAGAGAGAGAGAGAGAGAGAGAGAGAGAGAGAAGGCGAGGATGCAGTAGAATGAAAATTTGGTCTCATTTATTCGCATAGCTAAGACACGCTTTTATGCTCTGGCCCTTTTATTTACTTTATGTAGTGTTACTTTGTTAATAACATTATAGAGAAATATGCCTGAAAATACCACACTTACACTAATAAAGAAGGCATTCATTAAACATACTATAATTCGGGAAGTGAGTATTGTAACTCAGGACATCAAAGATCTCCACGTCCGTAAAGAATACAAACTAGTGCGAACACCACAAAGTTTACGCACCTAGCGCGCAAAGAGATTGTGTGACAAAAATTCACTATAACTGTTTCAAGGTAAATTAAATATGTTGATGTTAAAAAATGCATGGCGAGGTATTTAGATAATAACAAATGGGGGAGCACCCCCCCCCTCAACCAATAATAGAATGAAAACATCAAGCCTGCTCAGATTGAATTCCAAATACGCTCCCCTTGGGGGCCCCCTGACCTAGTAAAAAAAATCACGGCTAAAAATAGAACTCCACCAGGAATACATGGCATCGGGAGAATACACCGTGACCGGCAACTGAAGTTAGGATCGTCGTTGGTGAGAGTGAAGAAGCTGTCGTCGTTGGTGAGAGTGAAGAAGCTGTCGTTGTAGGCTAGGGAGCTACCCTATTCCAGTTACATTCCACCCCCCACCCCCACCACCAACTTCTGTGCAAATTTACCCCATCAACAGAAACGTTCACTACGGTTTTTTCTTCATAAAAAAAAAAAAATTTGATGCCCATACTAAAAAAAGGAAGGTAATAGAGTTTTATCAGCGAATTTCAAAATGAAGTGATTACTTACCTTAGATTAAAAAAAAAATTGGAAAAAAAATTCGAAGCATCAATTTTCTGGGCCCAACTCGACGATGCGATCTGAGAATACATCTGAAAGCTGTGGCCTACTTTAAAGAGGGAAACGCAAATGGAACTTGGACTAAAATAAAAGAGACACAGACTCCAAACAACAGCTACAACAAATTTTCTCAAATTAAATGAAAAAAAACAACCAACTAAATAAATTTGACATGCGCAGTGGAAGGGTAGCTAGGGCTAGTGTCCGCCCCCCCCCCCCCACACACACACTTTTGCGAGCCACAATTTGCCGACCACTGGTCTAGTGCCCCGGGTCGGACCAACACTTTTTTTTACACCCCCCGTGAAATGCTCTCCAATGTTCTGAAAATGCCAACTCTCAATACATAGAAAAAAAAGTTTCGCCTGCTGCGGGTTGATCCCTACCCCCCCCCCTCCCTCCCCACAAATCTCCTATGCTAGCGTCAGTGCACCCCTTGAGAATGCCTCATGCACCAATCGCCTGAACCCCGTGGCCCCCTATTACAGAAAGAAAGCGTCGGTGCCCCCCTTGAGACTGCCACGTTCACCAAACTCTTGAATCCCGTAGCTCCCTATTACAGAAAGAAACCAATGATCAGTTGATCACTTCTGATGAGTGATTAGGACTACACACCCCCGTTTTATATGAACAGACCTTGACGCATTAAAAAAATCCAAGTAGCATAAAAGGAAAGCTCTAATCAAATTAATTTTTTTAAAAATAATAACGTAGGCTGTAAACAAATTATGATTAAATTAAACCATTACACAAGGACACATCATTGAAAGAAATACAATACTTAAATTAAATGTTTCAATCACAAAAACACAAACAAACAAACAAATCAGAGTTCACGTGTCGTCACACCTCATTTATGTAAGGTCAATATTGACTTAAGTTATCAGCTTTTCTTCCAGATGGGGGAGCAGGGTTTCTTTCAGCTGTATCTCCGGGGAGGGGGCACTGTCCCCCCCCCCCCCCCCCCCCCCAAAAAAAAATCACCTGAAACGGTGGGCCCCCCCCCCCCCCCCCCCCCGAAAAATCTGAAGTGTGCCCCCGGGGGAAAATTTCTGAAAGAAACACTGTGGGGGAGTTCTATGGCGCTATTCTTACAAATCGAGGAACAAATATATAGTTTTGTTATACTTGTGCCCTAACTTTGCTGGAATTATACACCATGAACGTGTCCCTTTGTGAAACTGTCAAGTAGTGGGTGGGATGTATCCTCCAAAAGTTTTACTTTAAAAACAAATAAAATCACTTTGAGCATGTTTTTTAGGATCGCTAGAGATTGAACGAACTCGCTCGCAAACGAGACGCCCATAGAGCGAACCAAATTACAAGTTACAAAAAAAAAAAATGTCTTGCGTGCAGACAGCTTAATTTTATTTGACGCACTCTCAGTGGGACTTAATATTGAACGCGTTTCACTCGAACACTTGAACAGAATCTGTGAAACTATGTTGAATAGGATATTTAAATTGACGATATTTGTCCATTGTGGAAAGGGAAGAGAACAAGCGTAGGGTGGCGTTTCTTTCAGAGAATTTGATCCTGGGGAGGAGAGCGGGGGGGGGGATTTCTGGGGGCGTATCATGACACCAAAGCACACATCCCCCCCCCCACTTTTCCGGACAGATGCTGTAAAGAAATGCTGGTGGAGAGTGTTGGGAAATGGTCAACGAACGAATACAAAATAAAGTAGTCTTTGAATAATTATTAAAGATTGAATCTAAAGGGATTAAGCAAATCTGGATGTGTAAACAAATACTCCCTGCCACGTGACATAATAAACGCGACCATTTCGTGGATTCCAAAAGACCCCGTCAACAACAAGTGGATCGGACAAATCTTCTATTTTTCGGCGGCCTTCTCTCATCGAATTTCTATGGTTTGAAAAGTTCTTGTAGAGCACTGCGAGTGCGTCTCCAATCATGAAAATTGTATTAGAAACGTCGTTAGTTTTTTGTACTTTAAAACCATGTTACAGCGAGTTTTTAGCAAGGAAATACAAGAGAATGACATGTCTAAAACAATGGTTCTAAGAAGTTTTGTGAGCAACAAGACCAACTTATTAGTGGCCAATGAAATGATTATTTTTTTTACCGTTGGAATAGTAGATGGAAAATAACCCAGATAGGATTACATAATTTCATTCGCCAACTTTATAACTAATTACTGTCATAATTTTTACCCCGCATCCATTAAAATTTTTTTTATTGCTTGGTCCACTTGTCCAATAATTAAGTCCTAAACACGAATGAGAACTGAGTACAGGCAGCACTGATAGTGTAGTAAAAGTATCCTAATCTTATACATCTTGTTGGCCCTTAGATTTATATATTCTGGAATCATTTCACATTTTTGAAACTGTAGAGAAAACAAAATGGCGACATTAACGGTATGGCGTGGAGATTATTTTCGAGACATGCTTATTATTATAATAATAATTTTGTTGCGAGCCAATGTTAGCCATTTGACATTCTTAATGCTATGCTGTTTGGAATATGAGAACTAATTAGTAAAAATAAATAAATATTACCAAAAAATATATTTAGTTTTCTTTTCTTGGTTAGCTTCCCTTGAATTGACTCGATATTTAAGCTATACACTGACAACTTTAACGAGCTGTCAAAAGTAACAAAAAAAAAGTGACAGACAAGGATTGTAATATGCTCTTTGAAAAACAATGGTTGATGAGAAAAAGCTGCGAAGTCTCAGAAATATAC